GAATAATTGCGCAACTCTGATTTATCTAGTAAGGTGGGGTGTTACAATTGGTATCAAGGCACGTTTCTGCGTCTCTGATAAGTTTTCAGTCAGCAAAGTTTTCAGTCCGAAATTTTTCAGAAAAACCCGAACCGTCATGTTCACGCCCCGCCGACGACAGGTAAGTGCTGTTGCAATTCAGTTTTTTTTAGTTATTATAAACATATTACTTTGTCTATGCTCAGAATTGAGGATCAGAATTTTAGTTAAGATGCTCGAATCAGATTCAAACTCTAGAGGTTGGACATGACTCTAGAATTCAGGCATTCAGATATGACTCTAGACGTTTGGATTTTTCCGAGATGACTCTAGAGTTCTTCAGGTTTCACGTCAGTAATTATCGGCCAATTTTGGCAACTCGTCAAGAGATCTGTGTACCTTAGTAATCAGTCAGTAATGCTATCGCATATTCAGTAATGTTAAATCTTTTTCAATAGTGAGATGCCGCCACGTAGAGAGCCCGAGCATCAAGCTCCTACTCAGGCTATGGTAGTCGCTCAGTTCCGCGACTATCACGCGGAGAAGTTCTCAGGACAGGGCGACCCCCGTATCGTTGATGAATGGATTCAGGGGTTGGAGTTTATCTTTGAGGTTATGGAATGTCCCGATAGGTATCGCGTAGTTTGCGCTCAGCTTCAGCTACCTGGCGATGCGAGGCTCTGGTTGAATGCCTACTGGAGCATGCGTCCTGGTGAAAAGGCGGGTTGTACATGGGACATGTTCAAGAATCTGGTCCGCGACAAGTACTACCCTTCCTACTATCGGGCAGCGATGGAGCGCCAATTTCTAGCGCTTCAACAGGGCACTCGTACTGTCGATGAGTACGAGCGAGAGTTCACCAGACTTGCAGGTTTTGCACCAGATCTTGTTCGCACGGAGGCCCAGAGAGCTCAGCGGTTCATTGACGGACTTTACCCAGCAGTCCGTCATAACATTGTGGGACACGGGACACAGACGTATGCACGAGCAGTCTCTATTGCCCAGGAGGTGGATGCTAGTATTAGGAGGGAGGCCGTTCGTGATCGTGCTCAGCCATCTGCCCCAGCTCAGCCAGTTGCAGTTCCACCAGCTTTACCAGTCCCTCAGCCAGCAAAGGATAAGAACAGGAAGGCGAAGGGTGCACAGACTGACCGTAGGACCCGACAGAGACAGATTCCACCATGCCCGACTTGTGGTCGACTTCACAGGGGAGAGTGTCGTGCTGGACAGGACATCTGTTACTTTTGCCAGGAGCCGGGACACTTTGCGAGTCGTTGCCCGAAGAAACTCCAGCAGCAGCCGCAGCAGCCACCACAGCAACAGCAGCCACGACAGCAGGCACAGAGACCGCCTCAGCAGCAGCAGCAGCAGAGGGGCAGGCAACAGGCCAGGGTTTACGCGGTTGATCAGGTCGAGGCCGCGCAACAGCCAGGTACTATGTCCGGGATGGTTGTTCTCAATGATATTCCTGTGTTCGCTTTATTCGATACTGGAGCGACGCATACTTTTATTTCACGACGGTGTCTCGACGCCATCGGAGTTCATGCTGTCACCGCTGTCGATCCTCTCGAGGTGAGTTTAGCCTCGGGACGAAAGATAGTGACCTCAGCCAAAGCTTCAGATTTTAGCCTTTCTATCGGTGGTCGAGTATTAACTGCCGACGCGTTTGTTCTCGAGATG